GTGCTCCAGGATCATGCATGGCAGCGCGATTTCTTTAGGGTGAGTGGATTAATAGTCAGTACGCAGTGCATCTTGGTAGGCTTTCCTGACCGACAGCTGCGATGAGTTCTCAGTTGCGAATCGAGGAAGACGTTTGATACGGCTCCCAGTAAAGTTCATGGAAAAACGATAGTGTACAAGCACCTAATCAGAGTCGACGCGCGTATAGCAAAACGAGCAACAGTTCAGGATGGAGCTACGCCACCTGTAACTAAAGGTAACGTGATTTATTTTAGGGGAACACCAAGTGGCACTTGGGTGCCCACTTTGTCTAAAAGCGAAGACGCTTCGAGATACCAGCGCTCTGCTCACGATTGCAACAGACATTCGCCGTTGCCGTCTGTTCCGAATAAAGCATATAATTGCTACTCAGCTGATTCTCTGGAAAGTTCAGAATACCCATCTGCGCATTCATCTGCATTGCAAGAAAAGCCATATTTGAACTAGTAGCGATGTTTAGCAGCGTGTTTAGTTCGTCTCCCTGGTAGTATCATAAGTGCAGTCGGTAGGGGCATAAGGGGAAACCGAAAAGCGACAGTGTCATTGGCACCACAGACCGACAAATCATCGATCTGTCCTATTCGAAACACTTATACAGAAAGGTGTGCTTATGAAATATGTGAACATTTTACGTGTTCAGTACTCGAACACCACTAGTAGTGACAAGGCTTACGGTGATTTTTCGGACTTCATTCCGACAACAAATGATGTTCGTCAGAGGTGGCCAATATCCCAGCTTCGTCGCGGACTGCATCATGGATTGATTCATTGCAGAATCTCACGATGCAAGCGTTGAGGTGCTGCCTGGTGAACAAATCGGTTAGATTGTGGTGGTTCATTCAACTCCGGATAACATATCCAGAGTGGTCCCATCATTCGGCAAGTGATTCGCAACTTCAAAGTTGGAAGTTGCAGGACCGCTATCCACTTGAGGATCCACTGACCCTTGATAACGATAAACCCGAGGTAGGTTATCAATTCACCTACCTGCACTGACAGTCGCATCAGCTGAGATGGGCGCGTAATGTGAAAGCTGATAGGGTTTTTGAATCTACTTCATCTCTGGCGTCAGAATGAGTTCCCACTGGTATGGAAGGTCGCGTTTATAAGCTCACATTGAGGAACGTCCTACCTTGGCAACGATGGGCGCATAAGTGCCGAAGTCAGTAGTTCACGTATTGCAAAAGATAGAACTGCTTTCTTGGAGCTGCGACAGCTGTGGTGTCAGAAAGGCGTTTGCCTTGGTCTGAAAGGCCGCAGTTATAAGACCATAGTGAAGGGCGTCCCACTCTATGGGAGTGAAAGTGGTCTACTTCCGTATAAGGCGTCTTCAAGCCTTTGATCAATGCTGCCTTCAAAGCATTACTGGTGTCGGATAGCACCAAGGTGCACGCAACTATTGTGTGCGTTGGCGAGTACTGGACAGTGATAGTTATCATCATGTGATGTCGGCAAAAGTCAAATTAACAGCGGGAAATGAAGTCAACGACTAAAAAACTGAGTGATATTGGTCCTTCTCGCTTTGCAGACTGGAGTCCACGTGACCCGCCTTATGCTTTGCTCCAGACGTTACAGTACTTGGCTTGCGGTCGGCACCAGTGGTGTGTGTTATCGTCTAGTTACTGTCTGTTTCAAGTTTACGTGGTGCTGAGTTATCTATGGGGTAATGGCCAATTATGGCACGGAACAGTGAAAGTTGTAAGGAAGCTGTCTCGCCGATGACACATCTCCGTATGATAGCCAGCCATTCGTGAGCATATGTTGTTGACAAGGTGTAGACACAATGACCCAAAATGCTTAGGGCATTAAAATTTTACGCTGGATCTCCTTTCTCTCCCTGTTATTATTCGACGTTCCGTAGGTCCTATTGGTTGTACGGCATCGAAGCATCAGTACACTTGGTTGATGTACTGTTGTGAGGATGAGGAAGATTTCCAGCTCTTGACTCAAAACTCTGACCAACAGACAGCGGACAAGGTGCCTAACTTAGGAGTGTGGCTCAGAATTCTGTTTGGATCCATTTCACATCGGAAAAACCAAAACTTCATAAGTTTAGCATAGCACTTAACTTGTGACAACAGGCGACAATATGCATGCGGGCACCACCAAGCGCGGTTTGTCCCTGAATGGGTAGCGCTATCTGACAGAAGCAAGCTAGTGAGCAAAAGTGGTGTACCTAAACTCATAGCACTTGCTCTCTAAAGTAATGGGGCAAACTTCGTTACCCGCAAACGGTCTGATTCAAGGGAGCAGAGGCTTATTGGCCTATCCAGCCTAGACCTCTTCTCATTGGTATGTCTGGTGAATATGAGTTTAGATACATTTGTAAAGTGCAAGCCAGCGTAGCTTAATGTGGCATGGAGGAACACAAACCATCATTGCGATATGAGAGTAAAGACAGCTGGAAAGTGCAAATAAGAACTAGATTCCAAATGGTGTACGTGGACATTATTAGTACTGGACCTCTTAGGTCCAACAAAAGCGAGTCTATACACCGCAGATGAATGTGAGTATAGACGGAGCGCAATGTTAAGTAAGTAGGCGGTTAGAGTTCACAAGCTAAGAAAAATGGACGATTGTATTAGCACAAAGTTTACTTGCTTTCATTTCATACAGCATAATAATACAAATGAACTGTTTTTTATTCATGTCGCTTTAATGATTGCTAACATGAATTCGCCGTTGTTCTCTTGAGTGTGTAATGCATTGTAATTAACCACTTATCTTGTAAACTCCCCATTTTCAACGCTGACATATCGATTCGAAGTGCTACGAGTGGTTATAGCAGTAGGTCGGAAATGCTGAGACCGAGTCAACAGAAACTAACCTAGAGAAAATGCCGAAAGCGGGGACAAATGCCAAAAATATTTGATTGCTGTGCAACTGACTGAGATGGATATCTGTGTTGCTTCAGTTCATGCACCGCAATTCACCGACAGCCATTCGTAAGCAGATCTTCAAAAGCAAAACATGAATATATACACTCAAACATTCAGTGACATACGATTTGTGCACCCTTTTGCATCTGCCAACGACGTGAAATTATGGAATAGCACAGCTGTCCACTGTCACTGTGTCCACTCTCATCCTTGATGTTATTGCAGTAAACGCGCAATAATAACCCGATGTTTAGTGCGTGTTGCATCGCGTGATATCCAGAAACACATCAGATGCATCATTATAGGAGAACAGATCCTGTCCACAGAGATGGAGTTAATCACTGGGTACAAATCAACAAACGCACTGGTCCGGATGAAAGCCACGGTGTCAATGCGACGTTCATCTAATCGAGGATAACTAAAGAGGATACCGTGGTATAGTGTTAACCTGTCAACAACGTGGTGGAGATGTTAGAGTAAGCGCCACGTGTTTGACAGTGCACAAATTTTTGCACAGGACAACGTCAATATCACTGACAACTAGGCAGTTACGACCGCTTCAGCCCAGATGACGGACGACAATCGTCGCCAGTCGAGATCGATCGCGTGCACTGCAAAAAATGAAGGCAAAAGCGACACTTAAGCAATACGGCCGCTCCATCATAACTTTGAATCAATTGTTTGGACTCAGGAGAGGGATACAGGTAACAAGTATCGAGTAAAAAAGAACCATTCATTTAAAGCGCTCAGAAAAACTTATCATGTTCGACCAAGTTTGACAACAATCAATCGAAGACAGTTAACTCTGCTGGCCAACCAAGTGTAGGGTGGACTGCTACCGGAATTCAGACGGCGAAATCGAGGCAATGTCTATAGGGAATCCGAAGGCTAGGTCTGCTGCAGTGTTTGATATCCATCGGACTGTAGAGTTGGGGTGTTGGGCCTAAACGCTAAATTTGAAGCGTAATGATCTTACGAAAACGATATGACACATACATGTGCATGTTCAGTAGGGTATCGATTGGCATAAAGTGGTGTGTCAAGTTGAAAATGAGCATCGGGACAACAGGGTGTCAAGTGGAGACGATATGCGATTGAACAGTTGTGAGACGAAGAGTGAGTGGACTATTTTTATTGCCATGAAGTGACAGTATTAGTTGTCACCAGAGTGGCGCGTACAGTCAAGCCCAGTATGTGTATGTGACGGACAGAATTGGGGGACACACCACTACTATAAACAGCACTAGTTGAGTAAACGAAAGGGGGATAAGGAAGAAAAGGTGGGTTTGTAAATATACCTGAAGACAGCTAGGTGAACAGGCGAGAAAGTAAACAGGTCATTTTTATAAAGAGTAAGTGAGCTCATTGTGGGACATACAGGGGAATTACAACTAACACGTTTGACAATCTTTGGTGCTTCATAAAAGTCCTCTAAGTAACAATGATGTCAGCGCAGATATCAATATTCAAAAAAGACCGATGGGAGATAGAATATTACCTGTTGCCCGTCGCGTAAGCAGAAAATGTTAAATAAATGGGTAAACGGAATCACGGTTAGTTCCGGAAGCGCAGGCAAAGAATAAAGACTTAAGATGCAAACTGGTCAGGGGGCAAGTAGACATTTATAACCCATTAAGTGCGTAAGCGATTTGGTTGAAAGCATGCACGAGAGAAACGCACATACTCGCATCGTATCGCTAAAGAGAGAAATGCCACTGCTGATTAGGTCCGACTTTCAGTATTCAGGGTACAAATTCGCGATCACGCCCGAGGAATTGCCGGTTGCTAGATAAAAGCAGACTGGCTAAATCATGCGTAGCGAGGTGATAAACCCAGGGAATGTCATGGAGAAAATCACCTAGGAGCTTAGATTTCTGATGTCAATGGATGATGAGCGGAACAAAGTGGTTGGAAGAAAAACTTTAGCAACGATTTTACGAGTTGTGCAACGCAGACAGAGTACTTATGGGTCGTGATAAAGCGTGAATTGCAAAATTTGATAAAGTCCCATAATAAGTGAATTATGCATGGAAACACGAAAAAGCATTAAGAGAGCAGTAGAAGCCGCAAACAGGCACTTACCTTGGAAGCAGACTAAAATAGTATTATGTTCTAACTGTACAACCTCAACTACTGGCAATATGTCTTCGGCTACACCAAAGAAAAAGAGAAGAGGTAGAGTTAGAATGACAGGACAGGAAGCGAGCATTGTACATGGCCTGAAGTAGGTTGTGGGCCAGAGAAAAGGAAGGTAGCAAACATAAGATTTATAAAGAGCCGATTCTTGCGTCAGTTGATCAACAGCTGCAAGACATACAGACAATGGCAGGGTTCCAGTGGCGCCCCGGAAGACAACTCCCAAAAGCGAGATACACGAGAATCTACGTGAAGGTACTCACAGACAGCGAGTGGGTAGCCATTATGGTCCATAGTGCCAAAGATAATGCTGAAATTCGGGAAAAGGAGTAAGAAGCTCACGTAAATATGACGTATTTCGTCGATGATACTCAGCGCGAAGTTCAATTTTACGACTCTGTTCCTCGATCAGATGGGGAGCGGATTCCACCATAGGGGCTGATTTGTTCATGCCAGAGGGGTCAAAAGACGAACCGGTAGCGGAATCAAGAGCGATGGGTGGGTTGGGAGCATTCAGGTCAATTAAATGCAGACGGTATCGTTGCCTCGCGCGTCCTCGTTTAGAATGATGCCGATACACGCCAAGACAGACTAGAGGCAGTGGACGATCTTTCACAATCAGTAGGTCGAAGGTGAGTAAGGGTGAAGGCATGTCTGGGACCACGGTCTGAAACAAAGGAAAGAGAGGATCAAGAAATGGAGCATCATCATTGATGAAAAGTAATGGATAAGAGTGAACAGCAAATCAGATAAGTAGGAGTTTCAGCTAGGATTGGCCGGCCTATCAAATCACTTCATCGCCGCAGCGATCATGCTAGTGTTCCGCTACATATGTTGTGCAGAATGCCTTAAGGACAGCATCCAAAAATAAAACGTCTTAATCACTAAGGAGGAGTTTGTGAACTGATTCAACAGGCTGACAGTAAGCACACCAGAAATCATAATCCACCATTCGAAAATGGTGAAAGCGTTCCACAGCCGCAGAATTCGGAAATGCATGGCGTTGGGAGAGTCGAATTGATAGAGTCTCTCCGAGCGAGGACACATGGGCCGTGTACACAACGCAAGGGAACCAGTGCGCAAAACTTGTCCGTGAGGATACAGTAAATTAAAAATAAGATTTTGCTTTAACCCCAAGCTGCATTACAAGTATGTAAACAAAGTTCGTGGAGTTAAGTGCGGAATTCCTGATATGCATGCAGCAAGGGGGTTAGCTCAAACGGCACAAGAGACGGCCAATGTTCTTAGACTAGAAGCTAGCCGCACCTTTCCACGTGTACTGTCACCTTGCATCCTTCCTACGCAGATCATGCCGTCATTGGAGTTTAAGTGTAGATCCTTTGTCACTACGGATGTACTGAAACAGCAGTTTTTGCGCAGGTACAGCATACCTGATGTAGATGGTACTTACCCAAATACGCTGATAACAGCTACCATGAGTTTAGCTGAACCGTTAGCAATATTCTTTTAATGAGTTGTTAAATGAGATACAAATTCACACATTGTTAAAGCACGGGATGGTTAGCCCAATATAAAAGAGTGTCAGTTGTGCAGAACCAGCGAATTATCGACTGATAACGCTATTTGTGGTAATCTCCAAAGCTATGGAGTCTGTTGTTGAAGAGACACCAGAGCGAATACGAAAAGCTCGCTCCGGAGCAGAACGAACTACGTCAGAACCGGTCATGCACTACTAGTCTCCTGAGATCGTGCATGCCGGATTGATTTGGCGAACACGGCACACTTGGACTTCTCAAAGGTATTCGACCGTCTAGATCATCACATTCTATTTCCCAACCTTCAGAATTATGAAATCAGTGATCCCGTTGGATGGGCAACGTTATCGTTCAACGTCATCTGAAGGTGGAGGTTCGCAGCACCGTAGTAGACCCAATGGAAGTAAGGTGGAGTGGACCTCAAGGCTCGTGATACAATGGTCATGCCAAATCCGTCCACCGCTATGAAGCCAGAAGTGCTGTTGAGGCTACGTGTGTACGTGAGTGCATGCGTGGCGAGCTTGTGTATGAAATAATCAACGTTCGATATTGACTCGCTTCGAAATGAGAATCGCGCGTGCGTTCATGTGACGCAGGTTTTAGACAGTTCTTAGTAGCGCACTTGTGCTGATTTGAATGTACCGCTTTTACGTCTGATACAAAAATTTCCCACTACCATACCGCTGTCTTGATTTCGTTTGGGTGCAACAAACCGGCGACTGAGGTTACTCGGAGTACTCATGGCAAATTCTATTACGCAACTTCTGTTTTATTGGAATTCTTGTGCTGAAAGACCTACTACGTAGTAATGGACACATTGGAAAACTAACTTCACTAATTACGTTGGTCTACTTTGCTTCTCGACGGCGATAACACGATTGATGATGCAGCGATCAAATAATTGCGCCATCATTTCGGTAACGAGGGTCAGCGACATTTCGACAGTTTGCAATTATATACAGAAGAGATCTAAAATCGGCGTTTTATTCCATGGACCAACTTTGGTTGGCTGCAAAGTCATGTGTGTTACAAATTCAACACAATGCGAAAACAACCAAATGAGAGTGTAAATGAGTTTATCTGTCGGCTTCTTACTGTCACCCTTGGTTGTTTCGCGGCGTGGGTGGTGGGTTTTCGCCTGGTGAACTTTCGTGACAGCGTACAAATGTCGGTAACAGGGATCAGAAAAAAGGACATGGTAATGGGTGCATCATTTCCACGATTTGCCTAACTGCACAAGAGAGGTGAGAGCAACAGACGGAAACTACAACGACTAGGGCCGAGTAGACAAGCAGATGCGGCACAAAGATATCAGAACAAGTAAATTGGTCGCCAGAACAGTTTAGAGCAGAAAATAAGTAAACTCGGTACGATAGGTTTGTTAAAAAGTAAACGGAACCTAATAAAATACAGGGCATACGACGGCGAGCAAGAGCATATGGAACCAAATAGGATGGACACAGTGAGAGAGGCCTGGACAATAGACAACATTATCATTTAAAAACCTAGATCTCAATTAGGGGACTAGAAGGGAGCGGTTGGGAATGTAGTGAGGCAATTTGATGCAACCGTTCGGATCGCGCCAAAACTACTGAGAAGAAAGCACGTGCATGGGACCAAGTAGTAGAAAACCTGTAGTCAAGTAGCAGAGGTGAGGGGAATCGACCATAAGATGAATAAACGTACGCGCTTAATTTCGATGAAGGAGGAGACGGGATTGAACCATTCCATTACCAGAATGGTGTTACCGATGGCCGCACACAGATATTTCGCTCCGTTAAACGGGCTACGGGTCACACTGACACGCTGACAGCCTTTGGTGTCCGGGATTTTCTTTGAAGGTGAGAATCGCCTATGGAAGTGGGGCAAAGCACACGATCATCAGGGAAAAGATGGGGATAAGTAAGTCCTGAGAAAATATCTTATGGATAAGGCGTTAAAACGGGCGCCTCAATGCTAGTCAGGGGAGCAGGCCGCTTGGCTCCATCATGAAGAAATATATCAAGTTGTAAATTGGAAAGAGAAAGAAAGAACATGCGAGGTGAGATAGGAACATGGTGATTGATGGCACTGCAAGGAATATGAATTGATTGCGGTTCTTAGCAGTCAGCTTCCAAATCAGATAGTCGTTCACATGCCAGGAAAAAGCACTAGATTGCAGTTTCAGCCAGTTGGGGATCGTCAGTAGTGCGCATCCATTGGATTCGTCAGGATTATAACCCATGACCACCAGCGGCTTGAACCGCCAGTCAGCAGCTTATGCCACTGGGTCACGCGGTACAGCTACGGATCGTCATGATTTACAAGCTAACTGCGATATAGCGCGCCTTATCCTCAACTGTCATGCAAGTTACGAACGTTGCAGAGGACAGGGTTGGCCCCGAAAGACAAGACATCCACTAACAGTAGCTATGTACAAAATAGCATATAGAAACTATCAGGGCAGGTATATTTTGATGTACTCATGATTAGGGGATTTTTGATGTAATTAAGTGAGGTTCTTCGCAGTCAGCTTCCAAATCAGATAGTCGTCCATATGTCAGAAAAAAGCACTAGATTGCAGTTTCAGGATGTTGAGCATCGTCAATAGTGCGCATCCATCAGGATCCGAACCCACGACCACCAGCGGCTTGAGCCACCAGTCAGCAGCTTATGTCACTGGAGTCAACCCTGTCCTCAGCACCGTTCGTAACTGACATGGCAGTTGAGGATAAGGCGCGCTATATCGCAGTTAGTTTGTAAATTATGACGATCCGTAGCTGTACCGCGTGACCCAGTGGCATAAGCTGCTGACTGGCGGTTCAAGTCGCTAGTGGTCATGGGTTATAATCCTGACGAATCCAATGGATGCGCACTACTGATGATCCCCAACAGGCTGAAACTGCAGTCTAGTGCTTTTCCGGGCATGTAGACGACTATGATTTGAGAGCTGGCTACAAAAAACCTGAATTAATTATATCAAAATCCCCTACTCATGAGTACATCAGAATGTGAATTGATAGACAACTAGAGATGGGAAAATGTGCTGTAATCTACAAATCGGTGCTATTTGAAGGACAACTATGAAGCTGCGTTTGTGTAGCTGTGGCCTTGACGCTTGGTGAGAAAACCGAAGAAGGCATGTGCATTTGAGTTTCTTGTTAGAGTGCACAAAGGTTTAGCTGGTAGTTCACTGTCTGCTTAAGTATAATACAGCTCCATCTAGTTCATTGTCAGCTTAGTTTGGAAATGCAATTATCTTCAATGTCCCCGAACATTATCCGATTGACAAATGGCGAAAGAGTTTCGTAAATACTTATGAAATGGAGGGTTTTGAAGGTTTCAGTGACAGTGAAAAAAGTCGCGAAAGCGCAGATGCCTTTGCCTTTAATGAGTACAAAACAGAAAAATTATTAAAGCTAGACAGGTATTTTATCGAAAACTGAGTTTCAATCAAAAGACTGTTTATCGATCCCAGACAGGGGTATACAAAAACCGACTTCAATTTCAGCGTAGCTTAATCTCAATCTGGGTGCTCAAACGCAGTTGACCTCGATCTGCACACCAATAGGAGTAAATGTTCCAGAGCACAGGAAACGAATATGGGTGTGCAAGTGAATGATGAGTTTCACACACACGGAACAGGGGGGAGTGTTGACCCCCATCACTCGAACAACCACGCTTTTCTCTACAAGCAGCACACACGGCTGTCGCAGCACACATCAATTACCTCAATAGATGAACGATCGAGTAAACCGCAATAGGTTGAAAGCGTGATGCTAGCCAGTACGAAACACAAGCTTCAAGATACCGCAACTTAACCAAGAATGTTCAATAACTTGGTCATTTTTAATATATCTAACAAACCCGTAATTCATGAGGTGGTAAAAAACACTCGGAAAAACGTGACTTCAAATGACCGACAGCTTTTATCACAAGACTCCGGCCCTTGACCACAGGTACCAACGTAGATCCACCGGATGTGGCCATTCGCATGTATCATCTGAAGCCGGAAATATGTGTGCAAAAACGATTCATAAGGCTAATATTACCACAGTGGTTAACAAACACTGCTATATGGTTGTTATTTTAGAAATTTATTTTGGACTACTGAGGTCTGTGTAGTAATGTTCCGTTAGTTCATTTGGCTTACCATCTACAGTCCAAAGTGATGGCTTTCGGCCGTTCAAACAGCTTAAAAGTCAATCCGCAGCCCGATTTGATACTTTTCACACATAATCACTGCCGTGTAAACATTTGGGTCTGATGAGAATTTGCCGAAAAGAATTCCTTACTCTGAACTAATTACTGGTTTTGATTCTTGTTAATAGATGAGAATATTCGTTTTGCTGAAGACCAGCACTACTCGTGATTCTCAGAATATGAGTAATTACAACATCCCACTGCATTGAAAAACCTGTAGCTGGAAATGCGGATAAGAGGTATGTTTGGTTATCCGAGCTGGGCATTTCAGCTACAGATGTTTTGTTGAAAAGCTAAAGCAACATCATCAGTGCGGCTTCCAAAGTCCGAATCGTAAAGCCTCGTGAACCAATACCAGATCCGAGTGGCTATTGATCGTACCGTGCCTTAAATAGCATCAGTCGATTAACTAACGTGGGTCGACCAAGTGATCGCCACTTCGACGTGTCGGTCTGAGATCTATTGCCGACTTGATGTACAAAGCTTCGCATGCACTCTCTAGCTCCAGGTGCTTATTATTTGAGTACTGGCCCGAATACCAGACCTCGATGAAACTAAGCGACTTTCGGCTCCTTGCTTCATACTCCAATCTCCAGCTCAAGTATTACATACTGCACTAAGCAGGAGATACAGCAGATGCAATGAATAGTTAGGCAGAATTAGGTATTAACTTCGCCAAAACATTACTATCTGCATTGTGACGCTGAAGCACACCCTCATGGGTGACACACGACTGACAAAAACAGCCAAACCAAGACAATAAGTGATTTTCAAGTCCTATAGAACCACTGACTAAAGACAGTTTCTTCATTATTGCATACAGAAGACGAATGTTGCGAGGTGTTAACATTTCGATTGTTCTTCTCAGTCGTAAGCATAATACACATAAAATATAAACGAATGAGTATCCGTGAAACTAACGTTCATGAACAGGATGCAACAACACCACGCAAGCTAACAAATTGTCGAACTTGTTTCTGTGCTCAAAGTGTTGGACGATTTTTCGTGACTAACAGTGCATCGCCTATAGCCAACCGTTTTAGATTCTTATAAAGCAGGAGTATTTGGAAGGTGGTCTATATGTCCACTTGATGAGCAATCGTCACGAGATGCTTTGCGATAGATGCTGATTAGATGTACGCAGAGAGGCGTCTTGTTGAGTAATACATAAACAAATGACAATTTCCTATGAGCAGAATACGCTTACGTCTGAGGAACAATTACTAGTGGTTCTCACAGAATACCATGTGACAACACCATTCGCATTGTAAAAAATTTGCTATCTGGGGCAAAGAACCTATCCGACAGAAAACAGATGTACAGCTCAAGAAGACGTTCAAGCGCTGTAGTAAATCTCATACTTCTACCGCCATGGTGTAAAGCAGGTGGTTATATACGGATACACGGATAACCAAGTAAGGTAAACAAGTTGCCAGTGAAAAAGGAGCGTTCAACATAAGAAAGCGGGATAATCAGGCGCAAAAGATTCTAACCGAATCAAGATGCGATTTCACTTCTATCAACAGATGAGTTCAGAGTGAGTAAATCGGTTTGTATCGGTAAGGAGTACAAAAACTATTTTTTACATCCTTTTATAAAATTTAGGGACCCGCTCCTAAGGATCTAGTACATCTCACAAACGAAGAATATACGTATATATATGTGCAATATTCTACGAATAGACATAAGGCCATAAGAAACCATGGGACTCAAAAAAGGTACATAAATAGTAAAAGAAAACACAACACATTAAAGTCCATGATTTCGTCAGAGGGCGAGATACTACCCGGTTGCCCACGCCGAAGTAGGGTGTTGACTTAGGGGACACCACCCCGAGCCGTTGGCTGAATAGCCTGCCCGCAAGGCAGCGGAGCGAATTCAGGGAATCGTGCCCATTGGGAGCCGATGACTGATTGCTCAGTTCATACGCGCATCGTTTGTTCCTTTGTCAAACAGGGGCCCAATGCTCCCAATGCCCCGAACAAAATGTAAGCTGGTTTGGATTCCGTGAGATACACGCATTCATAACGTGCACTATAGCACCCACTCAAGCAATAGAGCATTTGTTGTCATAAGATTCAGTGGTGGTGTCCGTCTACTACGGCCACTTCTGTAATGACAAAACAACTGAATCATCATACCTCATATATGAATTATGATGTCGTACAAGCTCACTGGAAGGAAACCATAGTAGTATCGCGTTGCTTTTCGAAGCAAAGAATTATCGACCGATTAGTCAAACATCAGTTCTATCAAAAATGTCGGAGCATCATATCATTGCAGTCGATCGAAATCTCGAAATATAATCTACAATTCACAACACAATTTGCTAAAATCTCAGGTACTCCGCCATAGATGCATTATACCAGAAAGATCCATCACTCATACTGGTACCACTGGACCAACTGCGTACTCTGTTCGACACCGGGGAATTCGATACTCCAGCAGCTTCAACGCCTCCGACCATATCATACATGAAGTAGTGAAAGCGAAGCAACCAACAAGCTACATCACTAAGTCATTTCCACCATCCCAAATACGACTTTAATCTTTCAAACTCATAGTGTGACCCACGCTAGAGTATTGCAGCAGCATACATAGAGACATGCATAAAACGGATAGAATAGCTTTGAAAAAGTCCAGCGCTCATTTACCAAAATGCTCATGGGGCACTCATCAACGTTTACCCATGAGGACCGATGTTCCTGCCTCCAGCTCGATCCACTCTGGTTTCAACGGTTGAAAAGCAATTTCACTCTTCTCTACAGTATAAAATATTCGCGATTTTTCTCAATCAGTACTGCCGTCGCTTTAGATAGTGGCTCAACCTATCTCATTAGTAATGGGAAACGTCTGCTATTCTTACAGAAGACCCAGCAAAATATCCCCTTAAATTTCGTCTTGGTGAGGTACACATATCTGTGGAATAAACTGCGGTTGAAACTAAGGAAAACCGGCGAAAACCCGTACATTTTTAAATCTCATTAAAATCTTTTCTTTCCTTGTCAAATGTGGTCAAACTTTTCTACCTCCAGCAATCCACAAGCGCGCTCATGGAATCCGGTTTAAATAATATTACTTATTACATATTCAATGGAACTGTTCCATACTGAATGCAGTTCAGAAATGAAATGATGTCGAAACTCGCTGCACAGATGATCGTTCCACAAAATGGAAATATACCAATTTATTTATTTAAACTCTATAATTTGCTTAACCAATCACTCGGAGGATTCGAATCAACTTACAAATTCAAAAGATTATGGCTTATATCTGCAACCGTTTTGCACCTCAGCCACCATTAGACCCTCCAGTGAGTACTTTCCGACCATCTATAAGATCAAATTCAAGCCCAGGAAGATAAGTGACACATTGCTGTGTTAAGTTACACCGAACCTCTCGCGTGGAATACAGCATCATAAGCCAAAACAGTTACCGACGTCGTTATACCCAATGCACTGTTTTTGCCTCACTGCTGTTTTAAGCACCATTACAATGACGTACACATAAGCAATACAGAGGTTCGGGAAGGAGTGCTTGAAGCGAACAGCCCCAGCGTTCAAAACGTTGTTCTCCGACACCGCATGCGTTGGCTCAGCAACGTACTGCGGATGCCAGCCTATAGCTTTCCCCGGTGAGGGTTATTAGCACTTCCCGAAAGCCATTGGAAAAGGTATAGCGGTGGACAACCAATGACATGGATAAGGATCATGAGGAAAGCAGCCTCAACCTTAGCTTCAGTCTGGACAGTGCACCTCCAAAGTTGGGGACCACATGACTTTGAATTCCTGTGGTTGTAAACGCTGGATGTGATGGCACGTAACAGACATCAGTGACACCAGTGTTGCTGTGGCAATTTATCTGTTGATTAATCTCAAGCCTGTATAGAGACCTGTGAATATATATATATATATATATATATATATATATATATATATATATATATATGATATCTAAGATGTACGATGCATTTTTCGAGGAAATGACTAGTACGTCGCAATGAACGGAACACTAAATGTCCTTACTCGTGTAAAAGCAAACCGCTTACAGTCACAACTTCGAGTGGAACCTACACGAAATGGCAGAACCGGGTCAGCTGAACTGTGCCGCGCGCTGTCGCTTATTTCTGACTTTGGAGAGTAGGTATGCGAGCTGCATGAAAAGCAGGAAAAACCTTGTTAACCAGCCAAGCACAAGTGCTTGTTTCTTGCCAGTTATTTGCTGTTGTTCATAGTTGTGTAAAGGATTGTTCAAGGTCAAAAATAAGTTTCGGTAGGTAGTAACCTAATCGGGAAAAAGGAAAAATTGACCTGGACGTTTAGACAGCGCTTTTGACAGGTGCAGATCCAAGATCACTTGGATTCCAAAGAAGCATGGTTTGATCGCGTTTATCCTTAGCATTTCATACCACTCCATTCGAAGGGCATGTGACAATAAGACCTTAGCATTGGCAAGGCAACATGTGACTGATGGGCTGAGAGGTGTTCGGTAAATGTGCAGAGGTAATTCGCCCAGATCAGTAATGTGTGGCTAAACAACATTGGAAACCTGAGTGCACGGTAGTACAACCATAACATAACTTCATTCACGATTGGGACAGAACTACTACGAATAAAGTAAGACATCAGTGCTAAAAACGCGATTAATGGGGGTTAAGTATCATACATGATGCTCAAGTGCGTTGCAACCTAGCGAATTTAACTCGTGTAAGCGTAAGGAGGGTCACACACTTGGGGAACAGTTTGGTCAATTTTCCCAGCTTGGATGGATTACTGCTCATCGCATGTCCTTGTGACTTCAACTTCATCAATGAGACCAAATCATGGCTGTAGAGCTGAGGATGCCTTCCGGACAAGGACATCATAGTATCCCGAACAACTGACAGCCACAAACAACGCCGAGGAAACAGCTGCGACGAAAGGACGAGACAAAAAAAGGTAGAAGTGTGAAAAAAGCAGAACACGTGTCGTCGGATGTGTAAGATGAATACATAAAACAGTGGATGAAAAAGTAACGCATGTGTACACGCCGGTAGCAGTAAATCGAAGAGTTGAATTTTAGTGCATCGATAAAGCCAAGGAAACAGTGTTATTGAAACCAATTAGGAATTCACTGGTAATATGGTAGTTTTGCGTTGGGTAAATAACGGGTCGGTACTAACAGAGTAGATGTATAGGAGGAATATTAACAAGGGCGATATTGAGAAGTGGGATGTGGCGCTTTGGCGGTAAGAAGTGAAAAAGTATTTCCGAACCAGTGCTCCAGTGCTAGGGATAATGCAAGCTTAATTCACCGTCCGAATTGATGGCACTCAAGAGAGCACAGAGCTCAGCGAAGAACAAAAAATTAAAGATGATCAAAATTAGTTAAGAAACGGTCAATCGGGGTTTTGAGCGATTTATGGGTAGAGTACGATTTTTCAAAGCAGCAAAGTGTTAACGGTACGTAATCTGATAGGACATACGATAGTGGATGCAAGAAGTGGGACCACCAGGAGGTTGTCGTCAGTGCGACAGTACGGCAAAACAGCGGCACAGTGGGAACACACTGTGACCATAGCAGTAAAACAGGAAATAATGGCCTCGATTGAAGCAGTTCCACCAGACGAAGTGGGTATCTGCCTCCAGGCTATAGGTATTGAGAATCCATGCGTGTGAGCTGACTTCATCGATGAAATACCAGTGAAACCAAGGGCCACAAATGCAAGGAAAAGAAGTCGACGGACAATAAGAGAAGCTCATATTCCCTAATTACGAAGTAGGATTCTTTTATTTATTCCAAGATCCAATCAAATGATAAATGGCGCTTGGCATTGGACAGTCGGAAGAAAGGTCACTAAAACTAAAAAAACACGGCGTACTGTGCAAGTAGAAGGAGTCAGCAAAAGAGGGTACGCAATGAGAAAAGAAAACAGTAAACGTAAAGAATCACAAATGCCACTAGGTCGGGTCCAACAAAGGTTTATGCCTGAGCGCAGCAGCAACAGCATCATTGTTGAAATTCAGAGTAGTACAAAACAGATATAATGAATATCGGAAAGTGAAAGTTAAAAGTGGTTCGGTAAATGAATGCTGTATTGCAGGAGCGAGTAGAAATCTACGTCTGTAAAATTCCAACGCAATATGAGCATAACGTTACAAAAAGTATCCGCCACCTGTAACAATCTCAGCGCTCTGCAATTTCTTCTGTAGCATTAAAAATGTCTGAGTCACAGTATCACTCGGCTCACAATGTAAACTGTCACTGCTAGTGTGTAATCCATTCATGAATCGAATGATAATGATAGGTAAATCCAACAAAATTTTGGCCTCCACAACTTGTTCCCCACTTGTTCTCCCCCAACTTGTTCTAGCGGACTTTTCCAAATTTTTACAGCACTCTGCTCGAAGCAAAGTGCGTGGGGCAATTCGCTTCCGCTTCGGCAACACTAGTTTGTACCAGTGTCCGCATATGTTGCATGGCGTTCGCAGGTGGAGCGGTGGCCTCAACATAGGGAATTACTGGGATGTAGTATCTGCTGCTTATCGGAGACCCGCTTGCAAGACTCGGGTCCTGTGCTCATTATGCGATCCCCTTCAGATGATACCAGCAGTACTTACTCATTGCGCCTATCCGATGGTGATGCAGCTTTGAGTATCGGCCAAGCCGGTGTTGGTATCACCCTGAGTCTCCGGGCTGAAACTGCTCTGGTTGACTGGATCCTAATCAGTAGCCGGATGTATGCGGTCCGACTGGCTGGCTCGTTCAAAGCTTTGAAGTCGCACGGGACTAATAGGCGTCTATTCGTCATCGCTGCATACGCAGACACAAACTGTTGCAATGATTCGGTAAAATGAGCTCCTTCGCCGGAAAAGAAGCAGGGACACAGTGGTGCTGGCGAGGGATCTGAACGCACAAGTTGGGAAATTGTCCACTGATGAGTTGCACGTGGGAGGCCAACATGATCTAGGCTCTTGTACTAATAACGGGGAGCGGTTACTTCATTTGTATGAAGATGCTCGATTATTTCTTGCGAGCATTACCTTCCGACACAGTACCCGCCATGGTGACATGGCGCCCACCAGCTTTGGACGCAAGTCGGTCACATTGCGATCAGTTACCGCTAGAGAGGTTGTGTCCAGAATTGTCGCTAGGTCTCGAGCACATGCGTGGACACTGATTATGCACTTGTATTTGCTGATCTACGGGTGCGTTTTGGTGGATGCCCACAACGACTCAGTGGGGGCATAAACGCCAGCCAACCGGCGAGAACAGATGTTCTAAATGCTTATCGAGATACAACGGCATTTGAGTCGACCAAGCGCTCAGTGAATGCAATTGAAGGTCACTGGTCTCATGTGCACCGGACTTTATTAACAGCAGACAAATCCCCATGGTTGACCAACTGAACTGAACCGAACTAATTATCCACATGGACATTGGGTCTGTTCGCGGCCGCTGGAACTTATGGATGCGCGCCGGCTCATTTCTGCTGGATGTTAACACAACGGGACTCGCATAGGCCTCAGGGCAAAACCACGTGCTAGTCTGGTGAGAGACCGCAAATGCTAGTCTCATCGTGCATCAGAAATGGAAATGGCCGCTGCCCTTAGTAACCATCGTAAGTTATTCCATCTGATACGGGAAACGGGAAACAGGAGACTTTGTGTTAGTGAGACTATATGCGATGAGATTAGACAGTCTATCCATAGCTTGTCAAAACCATTGGCGTGTTAGGCTGAGTAATTTGAAAAGCAATTTTATCGGTTGGAATTGTTAGGCCTTTCAGCGCCCATTAATCTCCTTGCTCCAACGCTGGGTTCTACCTTTGGATCCGCCATCTCGCTCAGAAGTCGAACGTGAGATCGGATTGCTGCGGTTGAATAAGGCCATGGGACCAGATAACCTTCATCCAGCCCTCTTCAAATTCGGCGACCTTGCTCTTGTTGATGATTTACACGAGTTACTAGGAAAACTGTGTACGCAGGAAATTCTCCCATCCGACTGGAGCCGCTCCGTTATAGTCCCAATTTTCAAGGGGGCTCACGATCGGAATGCGGCAATCATAGAGGAATCAGTCTGATCCGCATCGCCTCCAAGTTGCTTGCCTCTGTCATACTTCACAGACTGGCACTCGTGAAAGCCAGATTCGTGAGGACCAAACCGAGCTTCGTCGTAGTCGAGGTTGCATCGATCACATCTTGACTTTGCGTCAATTGTTGGAGCGTCGTCCCATATATTGGTGGCCCACTGTTGTATTCCTCTATATCAATGGTGCCTTCGATTCGGTGGATCGATGTGCCCTTTGGAAGTGCATGCTTGGTGAAGGTGTGCCCGAGAGATATGTGTTATCCGAGCGCTTTACGCGCGTAGCTTGGCAGGCGGTCACCGCTCTTCGATCTCTCCATCGGTGTAAGAAAAGGATGCCCGCTGTGACCTTTCCTCTTCAACTTCATGATTGATGAATTCATGAAGATCGCGTTCACAGAACACGGCTTAGAACGTGTGGAGCTGCTCCCAGGTGAAAGAATTGGGGTATGATGACGATATTGTCCTCATCTGTAACAACTCACGAACTTTCAAGCGGCATTGGACAGATCAGCACTGGCTGTCAGCCATTTCGGGATTTGCTTCACACTCTCGAAGTGCAAAGCTTTCCTTCAGAATTGACAGAGACCGTCTCCTTGGCTGACCCATGGTGGAGAACAGTTAGAAGTTGTTCAAAAATTCAACTACCTAGGCAGTTGTATAAGCGCCTGTGGAATCGAAGAGGAGATCACGAACCATATATCAAGAGCACGTGGCGCTTTTACTAACCTTCACTACACATATACGTATATCTCTCGAGAGTGTAAGAAACTGTCTCTAACTTAGGAACGGATCAGTATGTACGGAAATGTGCATGCTCGTGCATGAGTGCATGTTAGCGCCAATTCTTAGTCTTTTAGCTATTTTTTGGACCATCCTGAAGTATATCATCAGGTGAGTTGTTACATGAGAACATGGATGAGATCACTACTAAAAAAGAATCCATCGAGTTTGGTGTGGAATGAAGTGAGGTTTTCACATATCCTGATTGCGGTTGGTAGGGTGTTCCACAAGACAGCGTATCTGATGAAAAAATAGTTGGACCGCATTGATGTTCTAATCCTGGGAATCAGTAGCGTAACTTTTTTGTTACGGAGTCTGCGGTGGTTATTGTGCTTTATCTCTATGTTATCTAAGTAAGAGTACGTTTTATGGTGCAAGATTGTGGAGGAGCATCAAATTGTGCTTTAGACGTCGCAGCCAGAGAGGCTCGATGGGAAGCTGTTTGCAACGTTCGCGATAGTTTAGAGTAGATTTGCTACTGAACAAACGTTTGGTGAATGATCTTTGTAAATTTTCTATAGATTTCTTATCTAACTTCCGCATGCTGCCCTAGGTGATGTTGCAGTATTCGAGAATAGAATGAGTGAGAGCTAAATAATTTCCATCTGGCCGGGACCGTATGGATTGTGTATCATATGTTAGCAACGGATTGTTTAGCTCTAGCTATTTGGTTTTGGGCTTGTTCAGAACAACAGAAGTCGGAAGAGTAGTGGATTACAAAATCACAACTGTTCCAAACATTTACTGCTCTCCGCTCGAAGCATAGGTTGTGAAAGAAATCGCTTCAGATGTGGAACCACGGGCTTTTGCCTGTGTCCACGTGTGTTGCATGACATTCGCAAGTAGGGCAGCGGCCTCAACATGGTCAAGTTACCGAGATGTGGTATGTGGTTGGTCACGATAAGATCGACTCACACTCGACGATAGGACATAGTGTGGAGTCCGAGTTTTTTCGAACCGGTATTCGTACGATAATCCTCGTAAACTTGGAATGAGCTTAGTAGCGACGTGCTGTACCCGTTCGCTCTACTATGCTTAACCTCGTGTGATTGGTTAGTA